AGAGCAATTTGGCAATGTCCTCTCGTTCGAAAGTTTCAAATCTATTCCTGGTATACCTATCACATTCTGTGAGGTAGTGCCGTGCCGTTTCTTCTTTTATTTCACAGAAGCGGCAAAAGGGGTCTGGTAAAATACCCATTATGAAGAGGTGTCTTCTCAAGGGGCAATGGCCCGTCAGGATACCTATCAGCCTCCTAATTCCCCTCCTTGAGTTCGAGAATAGCCATTTCAATTCTGATGGTTTGATTTCCTTAACAATCTCTTTCGATTGCCTGTGTCTGGGGGATAGATTTCATTCCTTAAGGAATCGTTTCTTACCCCAATTTTTAATCCTCACTTTCGCTGTGCTCATAGAGTGAGGTAATACCGGTCTTGTTATCCCTGAGTGTTCTGCAGCAAACATTGATGGCCCAGACCTCCGCCTGAAAGACGGAGGTGATATTACCAAGAGGGAAGGAGATGCTGAGGTATATGTATTCCAGCAGCTCTTCCCTTGTCTTTAATGAGTGAGCCAACGGTAAAACAGTCTATGCTACGATGATCATCATCCGCACTATAGTTATATTCACAGGGAGTAACTATCTGAAAGTACTTTTTCCCTAAAGGTGTTTTAACCTTTTTATAGCTAACGCTTAATAGTTGGTTGTTGACCTTACTCAATAATTGTAGAATCTTCGAGTGACCTATGTTGTTACCCTTATGGTTCCAACTGCCTTCACTTCAGGTTTAGTATACTAATTTAATTACAAAAAATTATAATAAAAAAATTCATTATAATAAAACTAATTATTTGTAAAGTAGCTATTAAACCTATGCTGCTGTATGCTTGCCCAGCATGGAGTTACACGTGCGAATCGAACATACAAAAACTGCAAGTGGTCCAAAATAAATTTCTAAGATTTATAACCACGATACACCAGAATTGTCCTCCTCCATGAGAGAACGGGAGTGGAGTGTATTAAGTCCGAATTAAAGCGTCTGTCCAGGAATTTTTTTATGGGTCTCTCCTCCAGCAACAAGGTAACGTACAAGTAGTACAAACTACCTGTAAAGATGTAGGAGTGTATGATAACATAGATTAGGCACAATACATAAATCTAGGATCTGTGATATATTTATGTTTCCTTTACCAGAGCTGTGATACTAGAAGACAATTTGTGATAATTCAATTACTAATGTTGCATTGTTCTTGTTAATCTCATTTATTTATTTATTTATATTTTTATTGACAAATTTTTGTTAATTCATTTGTTTATTGTTATCCTATTCGATACCTAGTGGGTTTTTAAGAAAAATCCACTTCCCCTGCTTAGTGAATGTTAAGTAGCATAATGTACAAGTATTTTTTAATAAATGTTTATTCATTCATTCAGGTTTAGTATAATTTACTATACTGCCAGGCCTGGAGAATCATCCACCTCGGGTGTTAGCACTCGGGGTCTTGTCCATCCAGAGGTTGGGCTCTATGGGCCATCAACAACTAGGATCTGGGTTATTTCATCCCTCACTGCAATTCGTCTCCAAACCGTTCACACTCTCACTCACTTTTAAATACCTCCTATTTATACTCACTCAGGGTGCTGGAGTACTCGATATTCCTCCGTCACGTTTTACACCTACGATATAACTAACCTAATTGAGGGTCAATGAGGAAGTCAACCATTTCAACATGTTACAAGAACTTAGCTCGGTAAAGTTACGGCGGAGTAACTTGGCTAAGTCGGCGAGATATTCCCTAACGCTTCGCGGAAGAGTATTCCCTGGGGTACACCCTGTATAAACTGCTCAAAAAGGAATAGGGTTATTTCCAATTATGTAGTATTTACTTTCCCTAGCATTTTATTTTTTTAATTATAAATTGCATTGGAAATTATCATGTTTTTCATGAAGGAAAATTTAATTAACGGATAAAAGGTTTTAATTCCATAAATTTGTTTATTGGACACAATAATTTTTTTGTCGGTATTCAATCAAAGTATTTCTATTCACTGAACATGAAAAATATATTTTTTGCATTGTATAAATTCACTCTTTTCCACATCCTACACGTATTTGTTTAATTTAAACAATGTTTGTAAATCCCAGGCCCTGAAGATGATCTCAATAAAGATCGAAACGTTGGCACGATAAAGAAAATGTTTTTCTGAAACCTACATNAAATAAACTAATTATTTATAAAGAAGCTATTAAACCTATGCTGCTGTATGCTTGCCCAGCATGGAGTTACACGTGCGAATCGAACATCCAAAAACTGCAAGTGGTCCAAAATAAATTTTTAAGATTTATAACCTCGATACACCAGAATTGGCCTCCTCCATGAGAGAACGGGAGGGGGGTATATTAAGTCCGAATTAAAGCGTCTGTCCAGGAATTTTTTTATGGGTACCAGCAACAAGGTAATGTACAAATAGTACAAACTACTGTATGGATGTAGGAATATATGATAGCTTTCCATGGAAACATAGAAGGATTAGGCACAATACTTAAATCTAGGATATGTGATATATTTATGTTTCCTCCGTCCTGTATGTGGTGGAGTACTCGATATTCCTCCGTCACGTTTTACACCTACGATATAACTAACCTAATTGAGGAACTTAACCATTTCAATATGTTCCAAGAACTTAGCTCGGTAAAGTTACGGCGGAGTAGACGACTTGGCTAAGTCGGCGAGATCTTCCCTAACGCTTCGCGGAAGAGTATTCCCTCGGGTACACCCTGTATAAACTGCTCAAAAAGGAATAGGGTTATTTCCAATTTTGTAGTATTTACTTTCCCTAGCATTTTATTTTTTAAATTATAAATTGCATTGGAAAGTATGCTTTTACTGAAGGAAAATTTAATTAACGGATAAAAGGTTTTAATTCCATAAATTTGTTTATTGGACACAATAATTTTTTTGTTGGTTTTGGAAAAACCTTTAACAAGTACATGTAGGATGTGAAAAAAAGTGAATTTATACAATGCAAAAAATATATTTATATTCAATCAAAGTATTTCTACTCACTGAACATATAAAATATATTTTTTGCATTGTATAAATTCACTTTTTTCCACATCCTACATTTGTTTGTTAAATTTAAACAATGTTTGTAAATCCCAGGCCCTGAAGATGATCTCAATAAAGAGCGAAACGTTGGCACGATAAAGAAAATGTTTTTCTGAAACCTACATCATACCAGACCGCATATCACGATTTCCGAATAATCATCACTAACGGTCACTAATCACCACACATCGTACATAATGTTCTCAGTTAGCTGAAACCCCTGTGCACATGCTCGGCATAATATTAATTAGGTTGTCACTATTTCATAAGGAATAGCACTTAGCTGTTGCAGGTCAACTGGCTGCGAGTGGCGATCGAGAAGCCTTCTCTGCAACGCATCCCACTCAATGGAATCTGGAGGCAATGGAGGACGTGGACGATGGGGAAATCCTAGGTTTTGTAAACACTGATGAACAACTCCGCCTCTATGAGGACTGAATTGTCATCCTGCTAATGAGATCGCTGGTTTGAGGGATGAATTCCACGATAAATTTTTGCCGGACTGTGGTTAGGTTGCCTTCAAATATATGGAGTCCAGTGTATATCCGAGTCTAGACCATTACATCGCCTCCTCCAAACTGCAATGAAGAAATAACGAACTAGGACATTGTATACATCCCCTGAAGACTCTTCGGTAACTGCTACAGAAACGCGACTAGTAAACCTAGCAACCAGTTCCTCGCTGACCATATTCTCCTGAGTTGCTGGTGGCGGGCTGTTGCTTGCGATTCGTATTTCGTTACCTTCAAATATATGGAGTCCAGAGTAAATCCCAACACAGACCAGACAATTACACCGCCTCCTCCAAACTAAAAAAATAATTTAAAAAAAAATCCAATTGTACCAAAGTTTTCAGCGTAAAAATACTTTGAATGGGTTAGAATGTATAGGGATGTATTTGAAATTATGAAGTTGAACTGGATCTGTATAATTTTTTACAAAAATGGAAAAATTTGAAACAAGACAACTAGACTAAAAAATATTAAACACACACACACACACACACACACATACACACACAAGAAGAGTGTTCAAGAGAAATTCAGCCAGACCATATAAAAAGGACACCCTGTATACTCTTATGTAAATAAAGCATTTATTCATTTATTAATTTCCCCGAATGACAAAAATCACTAAAAAGCCCAATATTGTAGTAAAGAGATCAGGGATGAAGCCATTTATTCATTTATTAATTTCCGTGAATGACAAAAATCACTACAAAGCCCAATATTGAAGTAAAGAGATCAGGGATGAAGCCATGAGGTGAAAAAACCAACTTGTTTTTTTGCTGTCGAGCTTTCGGCTTTATTTGACACCTTCTCCAGAACTTTGAAAAACTATTTAAAAAAAAGGTGTATCCGGCCCCTTATATTTGGACCACATGTCCGAACTGATTGTTAAGTATTTTTAAATTGTTTTTCACAGTCTTGAGGAAGGTGTCAAGTGCAGCCGAAAGCTCGACAGCACAAAAACAAGTTGGTTTTTTCACCTCATGGCTTCATCCCTGATCTCTTTACTTCAATATTGCTTTGTAGTGATTTTTGTCATTCAGGGAAATTAATAAATGAATAAATGGCTTCATCCCTGATCTCTTTACTTCAATATTTATCATGAAGGCCGATACTATACGCAACGATAAAAACCCAATAATTGTGTCTTTAGGTTTAGGTCGAATTTAGTCAATTTGAAATGGCAACTTTTGACCGAGAAATGATAACCGCGAATCGGTGCAGGAGTGGGAATTTTGCCGTTCATTTTTTGCCAGACGATGCTAATCGTTTTTTATTGTTTGCACACCGCTCGAGCAAATGTTTAACGTCGACGCGATAATAGCCGTGCGTTTGAGGGTGGTAAGTGTCGGGCAGTGGAGCGGGGGTTGCCCGGGGGGTTTCACTTTTTGGCGAGGAGGGGGTCGCGGGGACGAGTGGGGCGTCCCTCAAAACCGAACGCTCCTTTGCATCCCTAACCAGTCCGAAGTGACACGCCGCAACACGAGTGCCTTCTTAACAACAGTGTTTTTCCAGTTGGACGTCCTCACAACACCTTACAAAGACGTAAGTGGCAAAAATTAATTATTTCACCTCTATTAGGATAAACACCTTGGACCAGTTTGGAGATATTGGACCAAATCACTTAGTAAAGATTTTTTCGAAAAATTTTAAACTTATCTGAATATTTTCAACTCTTCCCGGATTTTTTGGTACGACGCACAATGGTTAAACAATCCCCGACACACTGCATCCAATTTAACTTTAAAAAAATTTTTTAATCATAACCATACCAGAAAATAAAATTTTCAAAATTTATCAATACATAATTATATTCTGAATAACAAGAAAACTTCTTATTTGAACATAAGCTAACCGTGTTAAAAAATATTATCATATATTTTTCTGGATCAAATTGACTTAGTGTAGAAGACCAGTTGTCTTCTTTAAAATTTCGAATTTAGTCGGATATTGAACATAAACCAAAATCGTAAAAAAATTATAATTTCATCCCATTATTTGATTATCCAACTGACCTTTAAAAAAAAATTTCTTAATTATTCAATTTTAACCATATTATAAAATTCAATTTTCAAGATATATCAATTTAAATAAAAAATGTATATTTTTAATCTAAAAAAAGTATTATCGTAGATTTTTCTGGATTAAATTGACTTAGTGTAGAAGAGCAATTGTCTTTTTTAATATTTGGAATATATTCGAAAATTTTGAACATAAGCCAAACTCGTAAAAAAACTATAATTTCATTCCATTATTTTATTATCCGGGTCCAACAGAATTTAAAATTACTCTGAAAAAAAATTATTTCATTTTAACCATATTAGAAAATTCAATTTTCAAGATATATCAATTTAAAATTAAAATATATTTTTTTAATTTAAGAAAATATTATCATACATTTTTCTGGTCTTCATTAAAATTTGGAATTTAGTCGAATATTTTGAGCATAAACCAAACTCGCAAAAAATTCATAATTTCTATAATTTCATCCCATTGTTTTATTATCTGCATCCAACAGACCTTAAAAATATTAGATTTTAACCATATTAAAGAACTAAATTTTCGAATTTATACTCGAAAAATTACCGCTTTGAATGTGACCCTTACTAAAAAAAATCAAATTTCATAATTATTTTCCGGCTTGACGGTTTGACTTACTGTGTCAGATCAATGAGCAGTTATCCGCTTTAAAATTTGGGATTCAGCCGAATATTTCGATCCTGTTTGAATTCGAGCACACCTTGTAAAAAATTTACAATTTCTAATTGTATCTCATTATTTTATTATCTGCATTCAGCTCACTAAAAATAGTCTTGAAAAGAAATAATTATTCCATTTGAGCTATATTAAAAATTAAATTTTCGAGATTTAATAATTTAATGTTATACTCGGAAAAATAACAAAAAAAATTAACTTGTTTGCAACCTTACTAAACAATTTCAAATTTTGTATTTTTTTCTGGTTTGGTATAATGCACCAGATCAATGAGCGTTTATTCTCTTTAAAAATTTGGAATTCAGCAGAATATTTTGGTCCTGTTTGAACAACCAACCTTGTAAAAAATTTTGGAAATTTCATAATTACAACCCATCATTTTATTCACACTAAAAATATTCTTGAAAATAAAAATTAAAATTGACTTGAACTTATGATTTGAATAATATTAAAAAATTACATTTTCAAGATATATCAATATAAAATATACTCGGAAAAATAAATTCTTTGAAAATGATGCAACTTTACTTTAAAATTTCGAATTCCATAATTTTTCTGGTACGGTTTGACATATGGTATCAGATCATTGAGCAGTTATTCGCTTTAAAAATTTAGAATTCAGCGGAATATTTTGGTCCTGTTTGAACATGAGCCAACCTTGAAAAAAATTGGAAATTTTATAATTACATCCCATCATTTTAATATCTCTTTCCAATACACTAAAAATATTCTTGACAATAAAAAAAATTATATAATTGGAATAATATTAGAAAATTACATTTTCAATATATATCGATTTAAAATTATACTCGGAAAAACTTTGAAAATGATGCAACCTTATTAAAAAATTTCGAATTACACATTTTTTCTGGTACGGTTTGACATACTGTATCAGATCAATGAGCAGTTATTCGCTTTAAAAATTTGGAATTGAGCTGAAAATTTTGGGCCCTTTTTGAACATGACCTTCTAAACAACACCTTCTAAAAAAAATTTAAAAATTCATAATAACCTTCATCCAACACATTAAAAACATTCTATGAATTTTTAGTCATGTCAGAAATTTTAATTTTCAACGTATATATTAAGAACAATGTTGGAAAACTGTTGAAGTAAAGTTACCTTGCTAAAAAATTTAATGAATTTATTTATTTTTAGATTAACATTTTTTTTAAGCGATATTAAGTTAATGTAGCCAGCACTATCGTCAGTTATCTCATTTTTTATTATTTTTTTTTAATCCAGACGAATATTTTGAAGGTTTTTTTCAATTTTTGATCAACACACGACGTTTAACAAACGGTAAACATAGACATCGACTAAGGTCAATTTTTTTCTTAACACATAAAAATCTCTTAGTATGTGACCCCCAACTCGCCCGAAAATTTCAAATTTCCTATTTTTTCTTAGTTTAGATCTATGAGCAATTGTATTCGCTTTCCTTTTTGGTCTTTTGTTAATATCAGTTTTTATGAATGGTTTAATGCTCTATCAACATTGATTCCCCTTATCTGACCCCGTAATGCAGTACTTTCATTAGAAATGAATGATTATGTAATCACGAATGGAAGTTTATTGTTGTCATAAAAATACGTATAAAACCACTACTTTATACGTTAATTATATTATTGGATAATTACGGAGTTAAAATTAATTAGATTATTGAATAAATTGTTTAAAAAGCATTAGAGATGTAATAATTTAGCATAATATTTTGGTTTTTTCGTGAACGTTTGAAATGAAATATTTGAAAATTGTTGTGCCTTTAATTTGTTGTTTCAAATCAGTTTTATCTGTCTGTTTTGGCCTGTCAGATGTTTCGGCTTCACGACTTCTTCAGTGGTGGGTTTACAGATCTGACTAAAACAGGCAGACAAAAATGATTGGAAATGGCCAGATTACTTTCATGTGTAAAAATAATTGCATTCACTGGAAAATATACGCTCTAGAAATAATTATAGCACATTTCTACGCTCTCTGCAGATCTTACTACGCAACCTTACTATGCAGGTACACAGGTAGACATTAGGTTCTCTTGAGCAGAACTGGGTGTGGCACTCTGGTTTACTGTTGAAGCTCGAGGGTTTCCTTCCTTTCATTTTCATATTATAATCCTATCTGACAGAGCGTTACTGCCTTTTCTTCTTATATTCTTATTAAAGCGGGTGTCCCCCAGGGCAGCATCCTAGGGCCCTTCCTATTCACAATATGCACAGCCGACGTTTCTGTTCCCCCCTAACGATACATACGCTCTTTTGCTGACGGCAAAGGCCATCCAATCAAAAACATTAAGAAAAATATTTCTACTTTTCAAACCTAACTATCACAACGTCCTCCAAATCTCATTTAGATAGATTATTAAATCCCGGTACAAAAATATCTACAAAAAGTTCAACCTTCACCCCAATTCGGTTGCCAAACAGCTTTCTTGTCCCGACATTCCTGGAAATCCCACACGTCGTTAGAAACGGTGGCCGAGAGATCCCCTGAGAGATTGATAGCCTCGATGTGAGGGACTGTCACTGCTGGATGACTTCTTCCTACGAAATATGCTACATTGTCACTAGGCCTGTCATCTCATTTGCTTTTTGCGACTAAAAATCCCAGTAGAAGAAATTATAATTAATTAACTATCAAAGAACAAAAAATCCCTGTCAATCTTTTTAATTTTATTTACCGAAGCCAAACCGTTTTCCGCTGAATAGTTAAAGATCAATACAAAACTGACGACTTACACGAATCGTAAAGTCGTAGCTTCTTTTAATTTTATAATAATTATAAAAACCCTACATATTTTATATAAATAAAATCTAGGAATTTCCAAGCTTTTTAAAAATTTAGCTTGAATTTAGGACGGTCGAATTTTGTTAAGCTTTTAAATTTACGATTGTCGCCTTCAAAAGTCTTTTGCGTTTTTTTAAATTTGTTTTACGAGGTTCTTTGTTTTTTCTTTACTTTTTAATAATTTTTGAAGAGTATTCTGCCCTGATGCATAAAAACATCAACCTGGCGCAAAAAATATTGAACTAATCGACTTCATTCATCCGTTTTATAAATCAAAAGTCTGTATGAAAAAATTTTGATCTTTTTTTAAATAATTTATCCAAAAATTGATTGGAAGGATTGGATGAGCAGAAGATACGGCTTGCTGGAACCCCACAGTTCCATGACCAAGTGGTCGCAGAAATGCCTGAAGAGTAGTTGAATTTTGAGTGGCAAAACTGATTTCTGTCCTAAAAGTGGCTGTAGTCCAAATATTTTTTTTAAATTGTCCATTTCTTCAATTCCACGTCAATCTGCTGTCTACTAACTATCTGACTTGAATGAAATGAATCGGGTAACTTATTATAGTTGATGTACAAAGATGTGTGGTGATTAGTGACCGTTAATCGATGATTATTCAGAAATCGTGAGATGCGGTCTGGTGTGATGTAGGTTTCAGAAAAACATTTTCTTTATCTTGCCAACGTTTCGATCTCTACTGAGATCATCTTCAGGGCTCAAAGTGTTTGTTTTCCGTGTTCATTCAACACTTTGAGCCCGGAAGATGATCTCAATAAAGATCGAAACATTAGCACGATAAAGAAATGTTTTTCTGAAACCTACATCACACCAGACCGCATCTGAGATTTCTGAATAATTATCAATTAACGGTCACTAATCACCACTTTTTTTTTTTAATGTGAAGTTCACTGTGTACATTTTTAATCATTTAGTGCTATACCGCGTTTTTGGCTCCTTTGATACGCTCGGTTTTCATGGATGTTGGAGGTTGCTTCCATAGAATTTATTATGGTGTACATAAGGTCCTTCCTCATGAATGATAATTC